TGTTTTATTTTTTTCGTAACCAAATTAACCAATACTTGGATTGAATCACAAAACAAAATAACATAATTATAGTTTAAAGAGACAAAAGAACATAATTCTGATTTAAAGCATTCCCTTATTTACCACTAGCTTATGATGTCTTTTTCAAATATCATCAAAACAAAATATTGAAGAGAGTATATTGGTTAATCAATTAATTATAATTTTCTTACTTCAAACTATAAATTAATTAGTAATCTCATCATATATAGAAATTTTTATGGCACAACTTTTGTACCAAATATCTTAACTATTTTTTTTGTCGACAATAAATTTAACATATGTAACATATTGAAGCTATTACTATGTTTACAAGCTTATGCGGTTTGGAAATGGCCGGAGAACTTGTCCCGGCACCGATTAGCGCAGAGGATTGTGACGTTGACTTTAGGATCGTTGATTCAGTGTTTCGATTGGGAGAATTTGAAAGAGGAAGAGATTGATATGTCAGAGAGGGCTGGGTTAGGTATGCGTAAAATGGATCCTTTATGGGCTATGTGTAGGCCTAGGCCCATTATGACTAAACTTGTAATTTAATTAGAAGTGTGTAGATGATAAACGAGAATAACATTTTGAGCCTCGAGTGTAGCTATGTTTGCTTGAGTAATTCCATGATTTAGTTTGACAGTATACTCTAGACAGCCTGAGCACACTTCTGCTTTGTCTCTAGTACTCATACCATCAATGACCAACTTATTGTAAGGCTCTTCATCTCCAACTTTATCTAGTCCGGCAATGTCACCAAGATCACCATCAAAGTTTTGTGCAAATGGCTCTTTGTGTGGAACAAGATCAAGATTTGGAACAAAATCTCCGAGTGGTGTTGCAGTAATGGCTTCTACGTGTTCTTTGACTTGAGCAAAGTCACGAAGATCAGCCTCAAGGTTTTGTGCAAATGGCTCTTCGTGTGGAAAAATATCAAGATTTGGAACAAGATCTCCGAGTGGTGCTGCGTTAATGGCTTCTTTGTGTTCTTCGACTTGAGCAATGTCACCAAGATCAACTTCAAGGTTTTGTGCAAATGGTTCTTCGTATGGAACAAGATCTCTTATTGGTGCTGTTAATAATACACCCATACATGTAATTGTATTCAAAACACTATAACGTCTATATAGTTTTAGATCATATTTGCCAACGGTATTACTTATTTTACTATACTGTATATTGTATTAGAATATATAGAGATTCGGGTTTGATGTGCTATATTCTTTTTATGCATGTGTTTAAATCGTGGTGCATTTTTGTCTTGGGACCGTGATATGTATATACGATTATCAACTATTTGTTTTAAGGTAAATAATTTATATATGTATATATTTTTCCGACTAAAAATTCCATTAATTTCATATCGAGTTTACAAAGTCAATATACAGAATTTTCAAAAAATAAATTATTACATAAGCAAATATATGCGCCATATAATGAAAAAGATACATAAAAAAGTGAATTTGACAATGCTTTCTGTAGATAAGCCTTATTTGCTAATAGATAATTGAATTCGTTATTTTTTTTTCTTCATCTTCGATCTTGCTCTAATGCGAGTTATGTGTATGGATAGCATTTCTTGACCAAATCTCCATATTGCACACTGCATGATAACACCTGATGCTTCCAACAACAGTTCTGAAATATCGATATTTTGATACCAAAACTTCTATATCATAGTCATTTTGAAAGACTTTGACTTCGTTATTCTCGATACAATCTTTGAAACATCATATTCCTTCAAGTACATTGAAGATCCAAGTGACGTCTCGACACCATTTGATGGGAGAACAAAAGACAGTAGAACGCTTTTGGCAAATCTCCATTTTGCACAAATGTAAATAATGTATATATATGATGATATAAATTAAGTTGATATTTGAAAACAAAGAAATAGAAGGTAATTTAATATCTAAAATATTCCCAATAACATGAGTTTAGGATGTATTACAAATGGATATATAAAAGATGCCAAATGTCTTGATACAAACGGTATCAAAATTATTTTCGGATATATAATACAAATTTGGCTTTAAGTTCATGATAAATTTTTATTTCATTGACGGAATCTCCAACTCCAAGTTAGTCTCAAAAAGCCAATGAGGGAGTTCCTCATAGAGTTTACTTTCAACTTCCAAATGTTGCTGAAATGAAAATAAAATGGCGTATGATCAGATTACTAGTAGAATAGTTTACATTAAAATAACATGATACTAAACTTAATGTAATTTTCTGTAAGATGTTAGAAATTTGGTTTTAACAAATGAAGAAATTTTATTTTATTTAGGTACATATTTTTATTAGTCTCTTTTTATCATAATTATAAATATCAGAATCGTGCTATAAATATAGTTATGTGTGTGAATGATATAGCCGAAAAACATTTTAACGTGAAATCATATAAATACGCGGCGAAAATGTAACTAAAAAAAATATTTATAAGAATTTACCTTCCGAGCTTGAACCTCTTCTAACGCCTTCTGAAGTAATGTCTCTAGAAATTCAAGTTCATCTCTTGATCCACACTGATTTGGACTTTTCAAATAATACCTTAAATTTTGAAAAGATAATTAGAAAAATAAGTACGAAGGATACACAAAAATACAATAATCATATGTATAAAATAAGATATCTACCCCAATTCTCGTTCCACGTCGGCCAATTTGGCATTGCATTCATCGATTTTATCTTCAATATCCTATATAGAGAAAATGGAATGGTTAAATAAAAAGAAAAAACTCATGCGTAAATTACAATAAAATATTTAAATATTTCCAAATAATTAGAAGAAAAATTATTTATCCGCATGCCTTTGTTTGCAAATGATAAAAAATACCATCGCCAAAATTTTCTCTGCAAGAATACTTGTCGTGAGGATAGTAAAATAAGCAAACAATAATATAATTACTTAGAATCAATTTAAACTTTAAAATATGTAAATTCAATAACCTGAAGTTCGAACGATACACCTTTGATTCCCCACGCATGTCATTGATCCAACGTCGTATATACTGGTACCCATACCAATAAAGAAAAAAATTGATTACAA